CAGCGTTGCCAGTTGTTACCTTTTTAAAATAAATGGAAAATAATTTAGTAAAATAGACTGCATTATTTTTGTAGTTTTAAGAAACGTACATAATAAATAAATAAATAAATAAATAAATAAATAAATAAATAAATAAATAAAAAATCGATATTTCCACCGATGTTGAGCTATTTTTTGCGATTAGGGAAAAATCCTGACGTGTAGCATTTCTGGTGACTCCATCGTCTTCAGCGGGTCAAAATACTCTAAAAAGTATATGATTTTTTTGCGTGCCTGTGTAATTTTTTACATAGTAAAAAAAGTAATTAGTATTTTCTATTATTCCTTCCATACTCTTCCAATAGCTCCAATAAAAAAGTGTTTTAAATACCTATACTATTTCTTAAGAATTACAAATTCTAAGTCTAGTAAAAGTTGAAAGGACCAATGGGTACCATCCGCATTTTTCTGCTTGCTCTTCGATTTTGTAAACTAAAACTGTGAAGGTGAACCTCATAAACGTGTACAAAATTTCAACTTAGTATGTTAAAAATCAGCTGAGTTACTAATAAAAATAATTTCAGAATTTTAACTTTAACTTTCTGTATCTCGAAAATGCGGCGCCCAAATTAAAAATGACATAATAAAATGCTCATTACTTTCGCCCATTTGTGGTTAAAGACTTGACCATATAATTTGTGACCCTATGCATTTGTTTCTGCTGAATATATATACATATTTCAATTTACTTTTGTAACACATTTCTGAGAAAAAATTCATCATTAAAAATATATCAAATCATATATTTGATGTATTTTCGAATTATTAGAATATCATACAGGTTATAAATTCACATTCCCAGTTTTTAATTAATTATTCAGGAATTGTAAACCTAACAGATTTATTATCGGCTTCCCACAGTTCATATTATTCACAAAATTTACCAGAAGTGATTAACTATATAATAAAAATTTTACCCATTTAAATCTATAAATATCTGCACTGAATATATCATAAAATACCAATTTGTCATGTACATTTCGATTGATTGATAATATGGCCATTTCACTGTCAATTTGAGTTATCCAATACTGTTCGTCATTTTACTGGATCTAACTGTGGTTTGAAAATTTAATTTTCTCTGAAATTGTTACATTTTATGTAACCATTAATATACAAAAAATATCTGTTGACTCAGTTTCGTGTTGATCTTTCTTCAGAGCGATGACAGCTATTAAATACTAGATTAGGAGTTAATTTCTATGGAGGTTTGAAATATTATTTATGATAAATAGGGTGACCTGCATAAAACAATTTCTTCCAAAGTCCTGCATTCACCAAATAATTTCCCACAGATCGGTCATGTCGTTTTAGTTCAAATTAAAAAAAAAATTGTAACTTAATTTTACGAAAGAACGAACTTGTAGTTACTTTGAATGAACGTAATTCATTTAAAGTTGTAATAAAAAATCATGTAGAAAATTTGATTTTTCAAATTAGAAGTCAACTAATTATTCCTGATTATCTTTTTGTTCCTAAACCATGAAAATATTCTGAAAGTTAGTAGATATGCCACATTAGCTTTGTTACATACACGTAATACCAGCGTAACTACTTTTTAGTTGATTACCCTGCAAATATATCTTATGTTATGCCTTCCCCTAAAGTCTAACTACTACTTAGCCAGTTCATGCATGAATTCAATTACCTTGTGATGCCTCATGTAGGTCTTCGCTCCATCTAAAAGGCGTTCAAATTCAAGACGGTTAGCATTTCGGTTAGTTATCACATTGCCAACTTGTCCTGAAAGAGTAAAAATAAAGATATCGTTTGTTTCAGCGTTTATATGTACAGGGTATTTCAGTCAAGCTCCATTGTTCCATAGCTGTCTTATTATTATTTTAAAAAACATATGCATTAGACCACAGTTGTACCAATTTCGACACTACATAGTCCAAATGTATTTTCAGTTATTGAACTTGTTTAATTTGTTCTGAATGCTGCGTGACTGGTAAGTTTCCTGGCCCGGGAGCCGGAAGATACTGGAAACGATTTAACACCTTAAAAATTTTGAACACGGTTAAAATTGAAAAAAAAAACAAAAATCCAACTGTACACATTGTCCTTTTTAAAATATCACTGTTGATAACTCCTAGATGATAACTAAATACACTATCAGAACTATTTTTTTTGATAGACGCACTATTAAAGTTGGTGCAACTTTTGACGAACAAACGTTTTTCTAATTCCAATAAAAAGGCAGTTATGGAACAACAATTAACTTTGCTATGTAAAAATAATGTTAGCAATTTTGTGAATATTCTGTTGTAAATGTTTGTATATAAGATTGAAAACATTTTTGAGAAAATAATACATAAAATTTATAATCACTAATATGTATGGGGCATTCCATGCGAAATAAATGAGCTCGTAACCGATTCATTTTTAATTTTCCTGATTTATTGGTATTATTTAGTGCCCATTTAGAGTAGCTTTCATGAATTTTTTCAAATTTTATTTGAAGTTGGACCCACGTTGGGCGTCACTTTTGCTACAATACAAAATTAAAACTTGTGCGTATAGCAAAACAAAGGCCACTTTTGCTACCAAAAAATGGGAAACAAGTGTATGTCCACTCTAAAACGAAACTTGCTTTAAACAAAAATTAAATAAATAGCAAATAGGCGCATTCAGGAAGTTATGGGCATTTGAATATTTTGGTTAAAAATTTTTCAAAACTGTACCTTGGTAAAAACTGAAGATATAAGCTTTTTTTCATTTTGTTCGTTTTGAGTTGTAGTTTTATATCTATTTCGTCGTTAATCTGTCTGTATATAAAGTTTTTACTAAATACAAATGGTAAAAAATATAACAAGTATTATGGCATTATGTAAAAACTTTTTAATGCTGAAAAAAAAAGAAAATCGGACTATTCCTTAATAATAATTTAGATATTCAGTAATGACAATATTAGTAGTAGTTTTAATAATATTGTATTTTAGTAATTAGTCGTCGCGATTAGATCTATTAGACCAAGCAAATTAAATTTTTACTCGAAAAAAGTCCTATCCGCGAGATTATTGTAAAATTATCTAAAGGAACATAATACAAGACATCTCTCGTCCCATGAGTCAAAAACTTTTATTAGCTAACTTTTCTATTTAAACAAATAAGTGAGGAAAACATTTTTTTTCACTTTACAGGGAAAACCATCAATTTTAGCGAAAAGTGACTCAGAAACAGCTTATTTTGAGTAAAATTATCTACAAAATGAGACTTGTTAAATTAAATTCGGTTAATAAACAAAAAAGTTATTGCAAAAAAAACAAGAAAAGTGCCCATAGTTATAAACAAATTAAAACTATCGCATTTATTGTTAAAATTTTATAAAACCTATGACAAGTTGGGGGTTTTGTCATACTTTAAAAGTGTGCCAAAAGTGGGCGCTGTAGGTGCAATAGTTTTCGCACAATTCTATTTGTTTATAACGGAGGCTCCAAAAGTTATGAACTTTAAGCCTCTGTACAGGCGTTAATTTTCAATCAAACATTATTAAAGACGCAATTAAGCTACCTATTAAAAAATGTCACCGTTCTCTTGACATTAACATTCTCAAATTGTGCACTAAAAAACCGTGAGTTTTTCGCTTATAAACAATTTGAATAACATCGTTACTATTTATGCTGTCTCGCCGAAAATAGATCCAATGGATAGCTGGCAAAAAAATACAGTTTTAAAATAAAAAAGTACCCTCTACGACCAACAGGAGCCAAGATAAGAATTTTCTTTAAACAATCGTAGCGCAATCGTTTATAAATATTAATACTTGCATTTTTCGCACAATAAAGTTTACGACGTAAACTACGATTTCCCATGTATTGCATTGGAAAATTAACGACTCACGAACCCTTTAAAGAGAAGGTACTCGCTAAGTAAACTGTCCGGCGGCCGGCGGCGAAGCTCGTCCAAGCGGTCGCGCGGGCGAGAAATGTTAAATCCAAAGTTCAAATAAGTGCGCGCTGTAAATTTTGCAATATCTCAGCTTCTATTCGTAGAATAGCCCTGAACCTCAGAAAAAATGCATCTTTTATATTTTTTTAATTTACAAAAATGTAACAAAAATTATTGTTAAACGAAATATTAATTAAAATTTCAATTTCGGAATTATTTTACTATTATTAAATAAATAATTGAAAAAGTATCGTCCATTTAAAAAGTTAATTTTTTTACATATTAAGGCAAAGTAAATTTGTTTTTTCAATATTTTGTTAGCTATTTAATTACGATTTAAATGTAAAATTAAAGCGAAAATTCACAAATTATTTTCAAATTGTTATTTCTGATAAAAATAGAAAAAATTTTAAATTTTAAATTGTTGTATTATTATATCTATTATCGAAAATGGTTGTGATTAATATGTTTTTAATTAATTTTGATTATGTCGCAAAATTTTTTTGTATAAAATTAGTAATAAATATAATAAAAAAACTTTATATATTAAAATTTCAAGAAGTTAAAATTGTAATTTTATCGACCGCATTATTTTTATTAATATTTTTTAATTTTGAGAATTTTGCAATAAATTCAAATGCTTTTTATTCTTTTTTAAATCTTTTAACAATAAATAATAATTTGAAAATAATTTGTGAATTTTTACTTTAATTTTACATTTAAATCGTAATTAAATAGCTAACAAAATATTGAAAAAACAAGTTTACTTTGCCTTAATATGTAAAAAAAATAACTTTTTAAATGAACGATAGCTTCATTTATTTATTTAATAATAGTAAAATAATTCCGAAATTGAAATTTTAATTAATATTTCGTTTAACAATAATTTTTGTGACATTTTTGTAAATTAAAAAAAATTAAGTATAAAAGATGCATTTTTTCTGGGGTTCAGGGCTATTCTACGAATTCGTAAATATGCCCATTGTTATTTTTTCGTCGAGCTAACCCATTTAAAAAAAAATAAGTTTCTACGATGAATAGAAGCCGAGATATTGCAAAATTTACAGCGCGCACTTATTTGAACTTTGGATTTAACTTTTCTCGCGCGCGCGACCGCTTGGACGAGCTTCCCCCACCACCACGCCGCCGGCCGCCGGACAGTTTACTTAGCGAGTACCTTCTCTTTAAAGGGCTCGTGAGTCGTTAATTTTCCACATTTTTCAATGCAATTCACGGGAAATCGTAGTTTACGTCGTAAACTTTATTTTGCGAAAAATTCAAGTCTTAATATTTATAAACAATTGCGCTACGTTTTAAAAAAAAATTCTTATCTTGGCTCCTGTTGGTCGTAGAGGGTACTTTTTTTATTTTAAAACTGTATTTTTTTGCCAGCTATCCATTGCATCTATTTTCGGTGAGATAGCATAAATAGCAACAATGTTATTCAAATTGTTTATAAGCGAAAAACGCACGGTTTTTTAATGCACAATTTGAGAATGTTAATGTCAAAAAAACGGTGATATTTTTTAATAGGTCGCTTAATTGCGTCTTTAAGATTACAATGACGCTTTCAGAATCATGTTTGATTGAAAATTAACGCCTGTACAGAGGCTTAAAGTTCATAACTTTTGGAGCCTCCGCTATAAACAAATAGAATTGTGCGAAAACTATTGCACCTACAGCGCCCACTTTTGGCACACTTTTAAAGTATGACAAAACCCTCAACTTGTCATAGGTTTTATAAAATTTTAACAATAAATGCGGTAGTTATAAACAAATTAAAAATGGGCACTTTTTTTTTTTTTTTGCAATAACTTTTTTGTTTATTAACCGATTTTAATTTAACAAGTCTCATTTTGTAGATAATTTTACTCCCTATAAGCTGTCTGAGAGTCACTTTTCGCTAAAATTGATGGTTTTCCCTGCAAAGTGGAAAAACTGTTTTCCTCACTTATTTATTTAAATAGAAAAGTTAGCTAATACAAGTTTTTGACTCACGAGACGAGAGATGTCTTGAATAATCTCGCGGATAGGACTTTTTTCGAGTTTCTCTTTTATTTTCGCTAATTTTCCTGGTGATATAATAACATGTGGCTAAATAGCGTACAAATTCTGTAAAAATAAAATAAAATAAAATATATTTAATTCGAAAAAAATAGAATAAAGGAAGATCCCACTCTAGAACCTGTCTCATAAATTTATTAGAATAATAATATGTATTTAAATAATTAAATATTAAAAAACGATTTTTATTATTTAAGTAAAGTACTAAGTACTATTTTTATATTTTTTCATAAAACTACATCTTTAAACGAAGAAAATGAAAGAAAAAAGTTTATGACATCTTTAGTTTTTGCCCAAAATATTGAACTTCTTGAGTGGTTGAAATAAAAATTTGAAAAAAATCATCAGTTTATCGAATTTCTTCGAAAAAATTCACCCTTATTCTAATTTTGAAAACAAGACACATTTTATCGGGATTTGTTATGAATACCAAAAATACAATGTTCACAAATTTACTACTTCTCTGGTTTAGGAAATATTTGAAAAATGTAGCAACAGTTCTTTTGACTCGGGACATCTCCCTAATTGCACAGTTTCAGCCCTCCAGGGATTAATATATTCGAGATATGCCCTTATCCCCTTATAATTGCATATTTCACCTGATTCATATATGGACACTTCAGTTCGAACTATTTAGAGTTAAACAACGAAAGATAATTTTTTAACAGAACAAAGGGCCAGTATTTCTAACGTAAAATCCCTCTTTTCGAATCACAGAAGGTCCTTCTCTCTTTACTGCATATTAAATTGAGAACAGGAATATTTTTTGAATCTCAAATAAGAAAACT